CATGTGCAGACCGTGTGCCACACACAGTGACACACACACAGAGTCATCACGCTGCCCAGGAATGCGTGGGAAGGCTGTCACCTCGCGAGCATTCATTTGGGAAATCCCTGCTTGTTGTGTTCTTTAAGACAAAAACAAAAAAAAAATCTCTGCTGTATATTGTTTATATTTCTTCAAGATTTTTTTTTAAACAACATGTACGCACGTGATTCCGTTTCACGAACCCATAAAGTGACACTCTCAAAACAGGGTGACGTTTTTTTTTTTCACTTACAAATCAGTCACCGCCTTTTGGGTATAACTAACGCAAGAGTGATTTTGCAAGTAAACAACATCAGTACGTTCGGACACGTTTCCACTTACCTTAGGCTTCTTTCCCTCTGTTGCCCATAATCGTGATCTCTCTCTCTCTCGTGTCGTGTCACTCTTTTCGTCAGTCCCTATTTCTCCTGCTCCCCTGTCGGCCCCCACCCCCTCTCTCTCTATCTCTGTATGTATATATTGTTTTTCTGTACCTCCGTCCCTCTCAACCCTTCAACACACCACCAGCACTGGAAGTGAAGCTGCTGAGGAAAGAAACTGAGGCCAACTCCCTGAACCCACCTCCTCCTCACCACCCCCGCTCTCAAACAACGACACGCATGGGGCCTGGGGGGCGTGGAAGCCGGGATGTGTGGGTGTGTGTTTGCTCCCCTGTGTGTGTGTGTGTGGGTTGGTTGGTTGTGTGTGAATGTACATGTCTATTTTCCTAAATACACAAGTGTGTTTATACATCTGTGTGTGCACACATAACTGCTTGTTTCTGCATGTCAGTGAATGCGATTTTATTTGGTCCTACATATTCATGTAGGTATGTCTGGTTGTACGTTGCTGTACTTGTGTGTGTGTGTAGTTCTGCACGTGTGTATGGATTTTGTCATGGTTGCCTTCCCATAGAGATATATGCATGAGCATATGTGGAAACTGTTTTGAGACTGGTAATATTTTTTGCACACGCTTGGGATGGCAGTACTTGTGGTGCCGAATGTACGTGGGTGATGGACATCTGTGAAAAAGAGCTTTATAGCTCATCGGATTCCTCCACTATAAATAAAGATTTCTGTATCATTAGACGTCCTTTTACAGTACCAAAATATAATAATAGGGTTTTTCCCCTTTTTTCTAGTAACAAAACTGAAACCTTTTTTTACAAGTATTCATGTCTGCATTAACCACAATACCTGCAGTCAAAATGCAAACAAAAACCATACTATGATAATATATGCATTGTCCTTGAAACTGATTGGTCCACACCAAGGGACGGCTTTCTTTTGAGCCTCGACCTAATTGGTGCTCGACCAGATGACGCCAAAAGGCCTTTTGGCGTCATATATTATCATAGTATGTTTTTTGTTTGCATTTTGACTGCAGGTATTGTGGTTAATGCAGACATGAATCCTTGTAAAAAGGTTTCAGTTTTGTTGCCAGAAAAAAATGGGAAAAAACTCTGTTATTATTATTATTAAATATTTCTTATTCGTGTGTCACGTGAGGAGCAGTGGCGCAACGGTTAGCGTGATGCCCTATGAAAATGGCGACCCAAGTTCGATTCCCGCTCACGGCCAACACAAGTGGCGATTATCTTAACCGGTCCAGGGCCTCACCTAGATCGACTCAGCTTCAAATGAGTACCTGGCGTGGTGTGTAAAGCATCACTATTGGATAGACAAAGGCGGTCGGGCGTGGTGCTGGACCACCCACCCCTTGTGTACCGTTCCGGCTTTCATAGGTCCTCACTAAGATCGCTTGCCCCAAAAGTCGGTTAAAAGGCTGTACGGGGATCTTTGTCTTTGTGTGTGTCAGTTACCAGATGTAGCCCATGGCACAGGTCCCAGATGCAACCCCCACCCCCCCCACCAAACTTCCCCCACCGCTGAAACTACTCCTTCACTGGAAGATTCCACTGACATCATCCTCACTGCTGCCTCCCCTCCTCATCTCCATAGAAAACATTCACCACCATGAGCCACTTCCACACAGCCCCGTGTCCCCGAGAGCTCCTCCACACCCAAAGCCAAAATAACCTCCTCCACACCGTGGACTTAAACCCCTCGGTCCGCTAAGATTACAGACACACACACACGTGTAACATTGGAGGGGGCAGTACACCTCATGGCAGAGAGAGACACAAGGCCCCGGGAGGCACATGACGTGCCGGAGATGGATGAACAGAATGCACAGCAAGGGAGTGTCATGCGGGACACAGCATACCACAGCTTTATGACAGAACAATGAGACAAATGAGTTTATGGCACGATAAGGAGATGCAAGGTCAAAGAACGTAATGGCGAGACGCACGGACCTGTGTTAGATTTACATAAATGACCTTATGCGCAAACGAAGACGTGATACTCCCAATGGACAGCGGAACAATAATAATAATCCAATACAGACACGGTGTACATTCCATATACATTTGTACATATAATGTACACATTATAAAACATGGCACATAATACAGCACAGTACATATAAACACCCAAGAGAAGCGCATGAGCATACACACAGAAACATTACCCTTCACACACACACTTAATCGCCACCAGATGCCGCTCACAAATATAGCGCGCACACACACACACTGCACACGCACAGTGCTCACACACACGCGCACACACAAATAACTTTACAAACAATAACGGTGATAACATAAATCTCCTCCTGTCCCAACCCCACCACTCTAAACAATGTTAACACGTTCCATAGCGGGGGACCCAGGGGCATCTCACTGCAGGCCACTACTGTTGCCCTGCTTGGCCAGACCGCCCCACCCCTGCTCACCAGCTTGGCCAGCCCTGCAAACATCTGGAGGCACTCACTCACGTCCCTCCCCCGCGAGCATCTGGGGCCCAGCGCAGCCCAGCCCAGCCCAGCCTCGCCAAAAAACACCACGCTCACTTTCTGCCGAAGCTGCTCAGTGTCGAGGCACCCACATTGGTTGAGGTGGAGGGGGCATGATCTTCTGGGAGGGATGGGGCTCTTATATATGCACCAGATTTCATAGGTGATAAATATGCAGCTGCATCAGACATCTCACTGCCCAGCATACATCTTCTAGCATGATTTTCTGACAATAGCATTACTGCCAATTGGATAAATCGAAGAACAGTGAAGCACGTGACATAATGGACGTTATAACGTTAAAAACATGGCTTTAAAGCGTTCCACTACAGCATATAGATATTTATTTCCAATTACTATGTTCGATACATACCCTACTGTAACTGCAAACATGCTTTTAGTTAATTAAACAGCTCATTACATTAAAGGCACGGCCATCTCGAGCAATTTAAATTGAGGGTACCCTGGGGTACATAGCAATCAGAGGAGGAAAACTCGGCATTATATTACAATCGGTGTCCACTTAAGTCCTGTGGTCTTCATCGACTTTGAAATAATGGCCAGAGAATGCATGCATGCAGAGACTGGGTGTATTATATTGGCTGCTCTGGTTGCCATAGCCAAACATCTGGCAAGGCCCCAGTGCCATTGCTTGAAGGTCCTCGTGGGATATATTTTGTTTAAGCTTCCCAACGGGGTGGATAAAAAAAGTGTCACGTCCCGCAACCTCTGATTAGCACGGTTCGCTTCGAACGGTGCGAAAGAAGTTTGACATACGAAAGTACAAAACCACGCTCTGCTCGAAATCATTGTGAAGCGTACACACATATACATTTAGTCAAACGAATGCATAATGGATGCTGCGAATAAGTTGAAATTCAACAAGCTACGTGTGATAAATTCCGTCCAATTCGAGACGGTAATAACCACGATGCTAACATCAAACCAGCATGTAAGTTGCTTTACATGTCATCAACAGTGGCTGCTGAAGAGTGGCAGTAATACTGTTCCAGCACACGGTATGTTTGTCAACATTCAGATAAATTTAGTTTCGAAATTCTTCCTCCTTATTTATCAACGGGGAACCTCGTGAATGAGCTTGTTAAGCTCTATGATTTTAAAAAAATATCTGACAACTATTGCCTCTTGTTCTCATTTAATCACTTCGTGGTCACTCTCCGGGTTGTCAAAAGAAGATTCAGCACATTCGTGAGGATGCCACAAACTGAGAGAGTCCTAGATTCATTGACAATGGTGGAACCATTTCAGTCGTTGTTATGAAGCTTTTTGTGTCTTGGGGGAGAAGGAGATGAATGGGGACCAAAGGTGGAGATGAAAGCGATATGTAAGGAAGATAAGAGGGACCAGGAGTTTCACATCTCAGCTGTGCGCTTTAATGGACTGCCGCCCTTAACAATGACAAAACCTCGTTGAGAACAACATACGGTATCCGTGTCGACATCACGGCGGTTATGATGGCACTAGCGGTTACAGCCCGCAACACCGACCAAAGTGGATATAGCGGCAATAGCGTTCACAGTGAGTCTGAAAGTCAAAGTGTTGTCTCGTCGGCGTGGATCCGCCTTCTCAGAGGCCGATACCCGGGCGCGGGTGGGTGGAGATGGCTACCATGGCAATGGAAAACACACCCAGCAAACAGCACGGGAGTCAAGCGCCATGTGTATGTGCGTGCCTGCGTGCGTGCCCCGGGCGCACGCGTGCCCAGCAAGCACGCGCGCGCGCTTCGAGGTGTCCACGCGTGACAGCGCGTGCACGCACGTGTGGACCTGTGCTCGCGTCCACTACTCCTGGACCGCCTTGCAAAGGACACTTGATTGTCTGATTGGCAAGAAAAAAACTAAAACCTCACGTGGATCTGAATAAGGGCCCATCGATCGACTGATTGATTTGTAAGTATGGATTTCGGCGGTTAGCTGCATGCGCGCGCTTTGCGAACAATGAACCGGTTGTGCGTCTACCGCCTTGAGCGAACAATGCATGGGTTTATAAACGTGCGTATGCATGCAGAACGGTGGTGTTCCTGGCGCCACCGAGCTGGTAAACTGAGAGTGTGTGCACGCTGTAAGCTATAAGGTGCGAGTGGATGTGAGTGTGCTCACCATTAGTGAGCTGAGCATGAAGGTCCCCGTATGAGACCCAGCGGAGGATCGGGTCACTGGAACTGCAGTCCACCGTAATGCCCGGGGGTACATCTCCTTTCCCTGAGCACGAGTGTGGGATGCATCATCAGTGCACATGGCCACATGTGAGTTTACACGTGGAAACGCTGGCACACACACACATGCACGCATACACTTAACAGCCACACCCTACAGATGCACACATCAGCACCATTCGCCACTTGTTATATTCTGCTGATATACATTATGTCAAGATTTTAATGTTAGATTTTGCGATGATTATGGGCTGATTTTTCTTTTTTTTTACAAATCAGAGCTCATTTCAAAGGTTTCGGTTTAATAAAAAAATAGATCCGAGTGTCTTGATGCAATCTAATCCTAACGAACATCCTAGGACACTTTGTTGGCAAAAGTCTCTACTTGAAATCTGCAGGCAGAGTAATTTTGATGTCTTGAAATTTAAATCACTAAGCTAGTGACCATAACTTGATTGTAAGGATATACTAAATTGGGGTTAATCCATTCATAAACCTGGTAACATGAACATCACTCTAAACCTGTGTGATTACTGCGAAGCATCTTACAACTAAACTCAACGCATCTGTTAATAGTAATGCCATAAACAGGAAAAATATATAATAGGTGACATCAGTTTAACACGTTGGCTTTCGCGACCAATGTTATTCACAATAAAATGTATTTTGGGTTAGATCGCCTAAATATAAACGTGTTGTTAACCCAGCACCACCCGACACAGCCAATCAGTAAGGTTTGTCACGTAAACAAAACGTGCCGATTAGTTACCACTTCAGCACACTGGTGTGTTGGAGAGTAAACCCACAACATTTACAATATGTGACGTTTTGGGCAATGGCCCTTTAGCAGGGGCATTGTCTGAAATATTAAATATTTATTTAACTTCAGAGCAGTGTGATGTTTGCTGATGAATGTGTTGAGTCTTTGTTATGTGCGCTTGTGTGCCATCATTGCGCGTGCAGTGACCATAGAATTTTTTTGCTGAACAACTGAAAGTACCGCATGTGTAATTTGCCCGCAACTCCGGTTGATTCTGAATCTATTGCAAGTGGGCACTGATGCCCCTTTAGGGACGTGTGCGTGTGTGTGCCATCGCGGGACTTGCCACCGGCGGCTATCAGGGTTCACATCTGTGGAGGAGGCTCGTGAGAGTGACACTGTTTGGGCAGCTGGCGGCAGCCGCCCTCCAGAATTAGCGCGAGGTGGAGGGGTGACGCTCACAGCAGTGAGCGTGACTCAAACGCAGCAAGTGTCTGCAGAAATGGGCACGGTCGATTTGAATTCCAGCCATTTATATTTCTCGACCCAATCTGTTCGAATGTGTCACGTGATTTCCTGTGAATTGACAGTTTCCATTTCATGGAACCGTACTGTGCACCAGGGTGGGCACAGATGCTGTCATGTCGTCAGTAATATTTCGTGTTGAATTACAAATGTACTGTCCATTCGTGTGCCGCTAAAATGAACATGAACCGATTCAGCTCATGTGCAGCTGCAGGGTGGATTATTAAATCGTAGGAGCATGAGAGATAAAAGCTGCTTTTGAGGTCCTTCATCCAGCAGTGGATTGAATGTGGATGATGATGATGATGATGATTATGAGCAGCCCAGCACATAGTGTGAGCTTTGTCCAGCACTTTGTATGTCATGACATGAATTTGCGAATTCATTTCATGATATACTACACCACCGGTTAATTTTTTGACTCAGGGTAGAGGCACACCAGGTACATCGAGATAATTTTTATTACTGATGTGGACTGATTGTACTCAAGTCTGGGTGGTGGGGATTGCATCTCAGAGCACTAACCGCCATAACGCAGCTCACTTTAATAGTTGCCCAAAACAGCACTTGCCTCAACAGTGCAATGAAGCTAGGAGATGATCGTTATCTTCATGTGTATGTGTGTGTTTGCATGCGTGGAGAGCAGTAGTGTAGCTCACGGTCAACACCAGTGACCATTATCTGAACCGGTCATGGGCCTCCCTTTGGTCGAATCAGTCTTAAATGAGTACCTGGTGTGGTGTGTAAACATCACGACTGGGTGTGGTGTTATAAACATCACGACTGGGTGTGGTGTTGGCCATCCACCCCCTCGTGTGCCGTGCCAGCCTTCATAGGTGCTCGCTAACAGCACTTGCCCCAACAGTCTGTTCAGGTTATATGGGAGAGCTTTGTCTTTGCATGTGTGCGCGTGTGTGTGTGTGAATGTTGCTTCCTTACCAACATCATGGATTGGGCCAGGGGAAAAGAGCAACTCGACCTGGCCAGAGTCTGGGAAGCCAGGATCTGAGGTGCCACATACAAACACAGAACAATAAATATATCATCATCAACATAATTTATTATTTATATGGTGCCTCCCATGCAAGCACATCTGGAGGCGCCAAGACAATTCGTCGCTCAGACCAGCGCAAGGTAAGAACCTCACCAAGCATCATAGGGAAGCGAGGCATCATGAGGCAAGCAAAGCCCCATGATGCTTGGCGAGGTCATGACCTTGGGCTGCTTTTTCGTTCATCTCCTTCACTATCCTTGTTGTTTACTTCATGAACACAAGTAAGTTCGACACCACGTTTCACGTAAAAGATATTCGAGGTGTTTCGTCTGTCTCATCCACTTATAACGTCCATAATGTCTCCATACCACACATTCTGATGAGTGAACAATGTTCTAAAACCCCCCAGAAACGTTAACCATAAACAGACCCACAGTGTAATTTATAAGACACCACAAAGGACTTCAACCGGGGTATAATGAGTGCACAACAACATGTGGAGTTAGAAAGAAAAACATGTGATGGGCAGGGCATCTGGTTGTACAGAGCTCTAAAGATGAAGACTTTAGTGAGCATATGCATTTCATACATTTTAATTGTACTCCGTCTGCTTTTCACAAACAGTAAAACCTCGTTATTTCCGCATTGGATCATTCGTAATTGGGGATCATTCGGCACGGGTGCGCTTTCGGCATACATACAGCATGTTAGTAATTGGCCATGAGCCGAATTGCCGTACCGAATGGTCGGCATGCGCGTGAAGCGACGTCGCACGCCACGACCAAAAACAACACTTCAGTCTGATGGCGGTGCACGCGGTCAGCGTTCGTGCAGCAGTGAAGTGCCACATCAGCTGTGTGTCGCCTGGCAGCGTGTAATGTGGTGTAAAAGTGTCAAATAATGTTGTCTTGAAGTAAACATGAATTGTTAAGTGAAAAAAATGGGAAGTTTAAGTTAGTGTAATTGGGTGTTGAAGTTATAATTTAGTGATAAAGTGAACATACAGTACATTAAGTGCATCAAGCCCTTTCCACGACCTACTCTGTCACTTACCACATGGAGCCTACCACATCCTCCTTCTTTGCCTGCAGTGCTGGTTACTGATGGTAAGTGAAACTTTGTTTGGAAAATAAATTTTGGAAAACAAATTTGGAAGTGTTTTTCATTGGGTCAGGAGGCACTCGGGAGTACGATGGTACATAATTCGGAATATTGGATAATTCGACTAGGCCAGAGCAGAATTAACAAGGGTTTACTGTATAATTAATATACAAAATTATAACACTATAAAACATTCCGACTTAAAATAAGTAGAATTGATTGATTGGCCGTGGAGAAAATTTGTTGGCAGATCCAACTGTGACTAAAAAAAAAATCGCGAGTTGAGAGAGGAAAATAAAAACACTGAAACATGAATTATTTAAAGGAAAATATTTAAATTAAGTACATTTGCACAAAAATACATTCCCTAGTCCAAGCATAACAATATGCTTGACTAATCAAAACGCAAATTAAGTAATTATACATCTACTGTATAATTTAAACATTTACAAAAATGAACATACGCTTTAACATATGGTATAACGTGATGAGCAGCACACTGCACATGTAACATGCAACGAATAAACAACAACAACTACTGTGATGTACAGCTCTTTGTCAATCCACTACCGAATGTTGGCCCGTCCCATGCCGCGTCAGTCACGGATGTTGTCTGACCACACCGGACCACGCCGGTCCGTGCGGGCTGCTGAAGGTGGTGAGTGGGGAGGGGGTGCAGGACCTGATACCACTCTCTGCCGATGTTGGCCAGGAAATCAAACCTACGTCGCTGGGTTCAACGGAGCAGTGCACTAACCACTGCGCCACCGCTCCACCCCCTCCACTTTGCACCACCCGTAAGGTAAACACATGCGTACGAATGTGCGCGCGCGAGCGTAATTCGCACATCCATCGTCGATGCAGCGTACTCACACTAGGAAGCGTGCGCGTATCAGGCTGCGGCTAAAAGTGGCGGTGAGGTGCTGTTTACTCGTAGCGCTCGCTCGGCTAGGAATGTAGCGCTCCTTCATCTCCTGGCATTCCAACTCAAGGGCTATGCAGTGTTTGGACTGTGCAATCAGCTGTTTACGCAGTGGACGTTACAGAAGCAGCAGCAGCAGAGGCGTTGCCAATAAGTACAAGCGGGGGGGTGGGGGGGGGGAGGAAAAATTGCGGACGTAAATAGCATCTGTCCCTGTCACTTCTGATGGGCTGTCAGAGCGGAGACAAAGAGCCACCCCCTGTCGACAAGAGGCCCCATGGGGGCAAATCCCATTTTAAAAGATGTAGTTACTGGTGGGAAAGTGTATTGTCTCAGCGGGGATAAACAGCGAGCCGTCACGTAAGACGTCTGAGTGAGCAGAATGGATGCATTCCTTTTATTTGTAACCAAGTGTGATCATGTTTAGTAACAAGGTTGCTAACCAATTTAAGATATCTGTTGGGAGGAACACAACCGGCTTAGCACATCGAAGTGTGTATACCTAAGGCAGTTACTGAAGGCGAGCTGCGAGCAAGGTGAGTAAATAAAGAAGTGGGTGAGAGGAGGTTTGACGAATCACTGAGATTGACAACAAAAAGAAAGATATGCACCTGAAGAAATAAGCTGTAAATGGGTAACGTGTTCTCTGCATTGTCATATGAATCAGAAACGTGGCATGTTGGCAGAGAATGTAACGACACATAATACAGAACAAGCGTGAAGGGGTTTGTGCCTGGAATTGAGGAACGTAAAGAGGAACACGTGGATCAGAGAACATACACAAATTAGAGACATCACGTTGACTGTTAGGCACAGAGACGTTGGGCAGGGCACGTAACTATGAGGGATGATGATGGCCAGGGGTCGTGACTAATAACATACTGGCAGCCAAAGCAGGGAACACACCCAGAGGATGTACACCACAAAGGGGAAACGTTAGATCAGCTGTTGTGCCCGAGCTATGTGGAATGTTTGCGAGTCATGGTGACAGCTTGGGGAAGGCCTTCATCCAGCAGTAGATAGATCATGGCTGATGCATGATGATAAGCTTGTTCAAATTTAATGTTAATGTGCAAAACAAACATTTTAAAAATTACACGTGGAGGGAACGATAAGGGAAGGAGGTGTAGGGTCCATTTTTTTATTTAGCGAATAAGTTATCCTTTAAAAAAAACTGGTCTTAACGCAACATATACGAATGTAATGCACAAAGGAGTGCATTGCCACCAATGTTGAGGAACCATGAGCTGGCGCTCAGCTTGTAGCGGTCTGTATAAGGATAAAGGGGGTGGTTTCACAGATCCAAGAGGTACTAATCGTGAGGCCTCAATTCACCTTTGATCAGTTATCAAAACCACACAGCACAGTTAAATAATGTGATGCTGCTTCAGCAAAAATACTTAAGTTAAAGATTGTTTTTTTTAAATGAACTACCTGTTAGTTAATCCAGCCTTGGGTTTTTTTTTCTCTCTGTGATGCCCCAGACAGACAGCGGGGGGTCACGCTGCTCACCACAACTTTCGCTCGTATACGGTGGGTGTGCGGGGGAGTTGGTGTCTGTAGCACTCGCCGAGGTCTGGTCTACGCTTCGCCCCGGGTTTCCTTCTCAAATTTGATGATCTTTTTTTCCCCCTCACTCATGAAAAGTCAGGATGCCAGCATGACGAAGCTAGTGGCTGGGTTGCGGTGAGCGGGACATAACATCCTGCACTGTCGGGAATTTAAAGCCCTCGTGAGTCACGGGCTAATGTTTACGCCTCACTCTGGCTTGTTTTCAGTGGGATCTGTGCTGGTGTTGGTTTACGGTTTAACCCTGGGGTTTTTTTTACAAATAAGATTTTATGTTATACATTAAATCCTGCAGCGTTATTAGCAAGAATGTGAAGGATAAGGGGAAAAAAGGCCACGATTAAATCTCTGGATTTTAAAAGCTATGTGATTTATGATCATGACGCATCAGGCTAATATTAAAATGGCTTTCTATGGCTTAAGTATTTGCCCGTCTGGGTATGAGCCATAAGGGAACATACATAGTTACAGCAGAAACAAATATTTTATGCACTTTGCCCTATAGGAAGGCTCTATATATCTTAATTCACAGTGCGTTTCATTTACGACTTAAAGCTTTCGTGGCTGCAGGAAACTCTTTTTTAATTCCTGATGACGAACTCTTGCGTTGCAATCAAAACGTCGTAGTTTTTTGTTATTTTCTTTGAACCTATCTACGTGACTTTACCGAAAGACACAAAGAATGTAGTTAAGTACCTCGTTTAATAGTTGTGAAATATCCTTCAGGAGTCTGTACTCCTCTGCAATTTTGATGTTTTTTTTTAATCTTTGGTTTGTTGTAGCTAGCAAACTGGATAAATGGGATCATCAGTGATGAAAATAAAATAAACTTCAACTATGTGAAATAAAATAATTATTATAGTTTTATTCCCAACACATTTTAATATAGATAATGGTAATTTTAGCCATCTGAACTAACCTCATGCAACTTTAATCTGCCAGTGTCTATTTAGAATAGTGTGTAAAATTACTCCGACCATTATTAAATGCATTGGCGGTAGACACAGCGCCAGTATTATTTCTATTTGTAACAGCAATAGCAGAGCATTAACAGCAAGAGCTGCAAAGTTTATGCTTTTAAAATCACTTAGAAAAGTGGGCAGATAAAGATCACGCATTGAAAATGTCCTGGGGACAAAAACTGTGAGGCTTAAATGGACAAGAGGAAGATAACGGAGAGAGAGGGTCGCATTACAAGGGGGATGTGGAGGACCTTAATAATTCACATGTTGAGAGAAAAATTGATTCAGGGTGGTTGAGATAAAGCTAGAGTCTGGCATAGCCTGGGAGAAGAGGGGCAGCTGTTGTGAAGCGTGCAGAGTGGCTGTCTGCCTGCGATATAGAGATTGTCGAAGAGCACTTGGATTGGGAGAAAGAGCGCACAAGAATGTCCGTGGGCGGTTTGTGGTTCCCACAAGAGGTGAAATAAATTCCGCTTTCAAAAAAAGAAGAGAGAAGAACGAGGTAGAATCCACCGTAGTGAAAAACTAGCGTGTATTCGCCGCTCACTGCAGAATGTGCCGCGCGTGTGATGGTGAGTGTGGTGAGCACAGTCAACAGCCCAGTCCCTACAAGCTGTACGGTGATTTTTTTTTCTTAGGGGAAATCATAAATGTCCAGGCTGTCTGAAGAGTAGATGTTAAAGACCCTTTGCGGTCTTCATTCACAAAGTACGCTACTGGGTGTTGTTGGTATCATACACAAAATGTGAGCTCTTATTTGCAAACACTTTTATTTTACTGTCCTTATTTAACTGAAGTTAACCAATTTTTACCTTGAAAATAGATAAAGCATTTCAACAACCTCCCTCCTGGATAAGTTGAAGGACACTGACTCAAATGGAGATAGATATTGATGGTTGTGTTGTGTGCATGCTTAAGAGCATTGTACACACATGTGCTGTTCAGAGTGTAACGGGTGTGGTGTGGTGTGTGGGTGTGGTGTGTGTGTGTGGTGTGTGTGTGTGGTGTGTGTGTGTGGTGTGTGTGGGTGTGGTGTGTGTGTGGTGTGTGTGTGTGTGGTGTGTGTGGGTATGGTGTGTGTGTGGGTGTGGTGTGTGTGTGTGGTGTGGTGTGTGTGGGTGTGGTGTGTGTGTGTGTGTGGTGTGGTGTGTGTGCGCGACTCTTTTGTGTTATGCATGTTGTGTCCTGCGTGTACAACGGGAGCTAGACGTGCGTTCGCTGTGCATGATGTGAGCGCTGTGCGATGCAAGGCCGTAATTATAATATATAAATATGCTCAAAATGTCCCCCCAATATATTTCTATAAAATAGATTTCTGTTTCTATGATTGTGGTTATGGTTGTACTTTCTTAATCCCTAATCTCTGCCATTACATACAATGAAACAAGAAAATGTAAAAAAGAAAAAAACAGAGCAATGTAATGCAAAGCACTATTAGACATTATTGTTAAAAATAAATAAAAAGTCCATCCTATGTGTTAGTGAATTTTTTAATATTTTCGGCAGGAAATGAATTTTCAAATTCAGATTTTTTTCTGGGGGGGGGGGGACCCCCGAGCCCCCTGGGAGATTTGGTCCCGCCCAATGTTGACTCCATGGCTACGGCCTTGGTGTGATGAGTGTAGTGAGTGCGGTGAGTGTGGGGTGAGCAGTACTCACCAGCACAGGCTTCGTCCAGGTCGTGTTTTGTGAATTTCAGGCGGTTGCCCTGCAGCGTGCACGTGTGGAACTGCACGCGGAATACCACCTCCCGACCGTCCTCCGAGCTCCGGTAACATTTCACCTACAGCAGAAGTGAGCACTCACTCACTTGCTCACTCACCCACAGACCCACCCACTCACTCATTTGCTGATTCGCTCACTCATTCACTTGCTCACCCATTCAATAGTTCACTCGCGCACTCAATTGCTTGTTTACCCACCCACTCACTCACCTGTTACATCTGTACACCCACCCAACCCACACTCGCATACTCACTCACTCAATCACTCCTTTTCATATCCTCAACGAGCCTAAAAAAGTAAAGATGTATCCGTGGCATAGGAGGGCAGGGGTCAGCTTGCAAAACAAGCGTACTCTAACCAGAGGTCAGGGCCCATTAATTATCTCAAGATGAGTCAAATTCAGCCATGCAAGAGATTAATGGAATCACTACTTATATCGGCATCATAATGCACGTGAATTTCCACCGCTGGTTCAGGGCTGCATACAAGATATGGAGTGCTGTACTTTGCTCAGTTGAGCAGGAAACCACTTTAACTTTTGACTTACCATGCAATAACTCTACAACCTCAATCTCCAACTGTTTACGATAACAGTTTCCCACTGCAGGTGATCTGTAAGAAGTCACGGCTACCTTGATGGATTGGATTGAACAGGAGCAGATTTGTGTTGGGGTTTTTTTTTACAACCAGAATAACTCACATGAGCCGGAGTGGACTTGCGGGCAGTGTCAGGGCTGGGTGTTTATAAGGAAGGGCACTCAAGTCACGTATGAGGCCACGTGCTTATTTTATTTAATAACGTACATAACTGTAACCGGAACATCACATCACACGTAATTAGTTATTGTCGGTCCTCTAAATGTGGCCTATTAGCTAGTGTCACAGTAGTCACCAAAGCTGCAAGAATCAAGAATATATAACACTCGCCAACGATGTATTTTATTAAAGGGTGAGTTCCTACCTGTTAGCAAGCTGATGAATATCGGGTAGGGGGTGAGGTATGATCAGAATGTGTGTCTTATGCTGTCAAATTTAATATCTCTGAGGAGTATGAGAACGTGCTTGTAGAGATTTTTCAACCTTTCATGAATGTAGAAATAACAATTTACTGCCAAATGTCAAACTACTTCTGGCTGACGGCCTCCTGACTCCATGGCAGTTATGAGGCTTGTTAGACCATACTTCACCACGCTGGTCAGTGTGGGTTGGTTATTGTAGCGAGGCCAGATAATAATTCCCACTGTAAAACAAAACAGAAGGCAGTGGACCCGCTGCTCAAATAAAGATGGGGCAGTGCTAATATTTTTGGTCGCTCTGAGAAAGTAGCGGAAACTCCACGATGCTATGGCAAGGCCCAGTCTTTCTTATAGGGCAGCCATACTATCAACTCCCCACAAAGTGGTGCTCATTTTTGTTGTTCTCAACCTGATAGTGATAACGGGCAGCGTCCGATACTCCAGCTCACGACCTTCCAGTTGTGAGCGAAGCTTACTGCTGCAGCACCACCCAGTGGAATAATCCTTCATATATAAAAGTAATAAAGTGAGAAAACATTTAATTGAGTGAGGCATTATTATATCGATCCGCAGTTTGATTCATTAGGACTTCACTAGAGTTGTTTGCCGGGGGCTGGGCTGATCCCGGCCCCAGCACTGCTGCCAGATTTGCCTCTTCCCAGGACCGACAACAGCCTACTTCTTCTTTCGCTGTGATGTCTCCTTCGTTTTTTTTTTGTTTACGTGGATCTGGACGCTGCGTCGTATACGTGCTGCATGGGTCTGCCCTGGACGACCGCAGTCAGCACACTACTACGGGAGAGGCGACGGCAGTGAGCGTGAGACGCACGCACCAGGATGTCGCCCTTGAGCACCACTCCCGGGGAGAGGTTCACGCACAGCGGGGCTCCGTCACGCACCTCCGCGCGGACCGTGCTGACGACGCCAGGGGTAAGGGAGGATGCACGGATGGGTAAGACAGAGGGGGGGGGGCGTTGTGCAGGGAGAGGGTGGGGGGAGAGAAGGAGTGGGGGCGAAGGTGGTTAGAGTGAGGAGAGCGCACGTCAAGGCATAGGCGAGACGCACAGCACATGGCGGTGACATTCCGTCCCTCCGCTCGTACGCTGAAGATGTGTGGCTCCTCGTCGGCACTGGCAGTTGAAGGATGTCTTGCTGAGGCAAGCTGCAGATTGTTGACGTAGTCGGCACGATGTCGAGTGATTCTCCCAGGCCACGTAGTAATTGGTAAGGAGTGGAATGTTAACAGTTTGTCATCTATTGTAAAGTAGACACTCGAGGCCCAGTGACACTTTTTAAGAATATTCCACAGTCATTCGTTGTGGTTTTGTTTTCCAAATCTAATGCAATACTTTGAACTCGTGTACAAATTAATATTGCTAATAATAAATGTTTAGATTGCCGCTCAAGTATACCTTATTTAGAGATATCTCAACGTGCACTCATATGATTGAAACTGAAAGACAGAATAAGTAGGAGCTTTATGTGCCGCATCGTTGGTGATTAGTGCTCAGCCGTCACCTGTGTGTGGCTATCTATGTCTTTGCCTGGCTGTCTGTGGCTGGCTGTCTGTGGCTGGCTGTCTGTGGCTGGCTGTCTTTGCCTGGCTGTCTGTGGCTGTCTGTCTGTGGCTGTCTGTGGCTGGCTGTCTTTGCCTGGCTGTCTGTGGCTGGCTGTCTGTGGCTGTCTGTCTGTGCCTGGCTGTCTGTGGCTGTCTGTGGCTGGCTGTCTGTGGCTGGCTGTACCTGGCTGTCTGTCTGTGGCTGGCTGTCTGTGGCTGTCTGTGGCTGTCTGTGGCTGGCTGTCTGTGGCTGTCTGTGCCTGGCTGTCTGTACCTGGCTGTCTGTCTGTGGCTGGCTGTCTGTGGCTGTCTGTGGCTGGCTGTCTGTGGCTGTCTGTGGCTGTCTGTCTGTGGTTGTCTGTGCCTGGCTGTCTGTGGCTGGCTGTCTGTGGCTGGCTGTCTGTGCTTGGCTGTCTGTGCCTGGCTGTCTGTGGCTGGCTGTCTGTGGCTGTCTGTGGCTGTCTGTCTGTGGCTGTCTATGGCTGGCTGTCTGTGGCTGGCTGTCTGTGGCTGTCTGTGCTTGGCTGTCTGTGGCTGGCTGTCTGTGGCTGGCTGTCTGTGGCTGTCTGTCCTATGCCTGGCTGTCTGTGGCTGGCTGTCTGTGGCTGGCTGTCTGTGGCTATCTGTCTGTGGCTGTCTGTGGCTGTCTGTCTGTGGCTGTCTGTCTGTGGCTGGCTGTCTGTGCCTGGCTGTCTATGGCTGTCTGTGCCTGGCTGTCTGTGGCTGTCTGTGGCTGGCTGTCTGTAGCTGGCTGTCTGTGGCTGGCTGTCTGTGGCTGGCTGTGCCTGGCTGTCTGTGGCTGTCTGTGGCTGGCTGCCTTTGCCTGGCTGTCTGTGGCTGGCTGTCTGTGGCTGTCTGTCTGTGCCTGGCTGTCTGTGGCTGTCTGTGGCTGGCTGTCTGTGGCTGGCTGTCTGTGGCTGTCTGTCTGTGGCTGGCTGTCTGTGCCTGGCTGTTTGTGCTTGGCTGTTCATGGCTGTCTGTCTGTGGCTGGCTGTCTGTGGCTGGCTGTCTGTGGCTGTCTGTCTGTGTGGGTTCGCATGAAGGTACTCACTACACAGGTGAGGTGTAGTACAGGTGCAGCCCCTGGTACACGCGCAGGAAAACGCGCCCACCTGCACACCGCACACGCACGGGCAGTGCGTGCAGCACAAAACAGAAGAAACCTGTTAACAATGCGTATACACAGCACATGGCATTTTCCACATTACAAATCCAATTAGGCATGCAGCATGCGGCATATGTCCCATGGTGCATGCCAGGCACGCAATATGGCACCGATTCATTGACTAGAATTGATTCTTATGCTCACGATACGTGCATTGTGTCGTTCGTGTATGAACTGATTGTTTTCGATTCGTTGCATGTCATGGGTTCACCTGACCCCTGCAACCACTGGCGGGAGCTATATTTGCCCCAACACAAAAAAAAACAAGGAAGGTTTATTCATTCGAAAACGTGAGCCCGAATCATGGCAATTCATCAAATCGCATTACATCACACATCTCCTATTTCCACGTAGTTTTAATTACGGCAAGTTTGTTTTCGTGATGTTGTTCTTATTTCTCTTTACCCACATTATGATGTGTTTTTGTGACTTTTCTTACTTTAAACTTTTAATTTACTTTAACTCAGGATTTATTTCTTTTCGTTTTAAAATGTGGTCCACTAAATAACCTTTTTTTATCAAAATGTATTGCTTCATAGTTGGCAACGTCATGGTTTACTTTAATAATATAATTCAAGTTTCTTTCACAGTGGGCACCACACTAAATGACGTAGACACAGCGTGCCACTCATTTGTATTTTAATAAGCATTTAAATGTAATATACTATTATTAATATAAACATAAATTAAGAAACAATATTGAATCTCCAAAACCTGCATTCCACGAATTTTCTGCCATGAAAAACTGATTTTTCTAATCAACACATGGCATATACCCAGCGATTGGTACATTTTTTCCAGCCAATTACTCACTGGAGGAAAATTAGATTGCCATTCACTGGAACACGCACACACGGACCACGCACCAACACCCTCCCCAAGATAAACGGATTTTTTTATTTATTATTGCAGGGAATTAATAAAAGGGCTTGTTCTTTGTAGTACTCGCACATCCCTTCCTTGTGCACACTTATTTTACCGACCGAGTATCCAATCTGGGCTTATAAACAATCACAGGTTTTCAAAGTATAGGGCCCAGTTGGCCAAAGACCTTTGGCAGAACAGCCTTACGTTTCCATCGCTGGCGATGATGAGTTTATAACTAGTACAAGATGCTAGGAAAAGCCTTTGCCATCGGGGTCTTAAGTACCACATCCAGAGAAGGCTGTTGTCTGTAAGTCCATGTTGTTAACAAAGAGGAGGGTTGATGTAAGACCTAAAACCACGGGTGGTGACCCAAAATAAATGCTGCATTTACAACAACAAAAAACTATTTGAATTTAAGCATGTGAATAATTAATGCAGTCTAAATATTGAAGTGTGCCGAAAGGATATATGGCATTGTAACACTGCTCGGAGATTCATTGAAATACTGTGCATTACATAAACATCATCCACTTAAGGCCCTTCATTGAAGTGGATGTGCGTTACATGAGCTGCCCCATTTCAATGAGCATTTTATTGGAGTGAGGTGCTTTTAAATTGTGGCAACCAAAAAACTGCAACTGGAGCACCTGCACGTTCCGTTGTGAGGCCAATATTTGATGGTATTCAGTTGGTGCACCGTAAGGCTGGTATTAAACTTAATTTCCATTGCATCATCATTGCCTATATGAGAAGCCATTTACAAATCCACGTTCATTCTCAAGTTCAGCTTTCCAAAAGCACTGCAATCTGCTCTCGTCCAGCACTTTACTCAATCATTTTTATTCTCACGTACCAACTTAACCAAAGGAATACCATTCAAATCAGCGATTATTCCCTATGATTACACATGGATCCGAAACATCGATATGCACAAAGAAAATAGAACAAAATCTGAAATGTTAACAAACAAAAAAATGGAGAGGTGCACATTGTTTTCTTTTTAAGTTCAGCCACAGAAAGCAAAACAAGTGATTTCAAATCATGGCCAGGAGAACATATTCAAATTAAGGCCATGATACTGAGATTCTTAAGGAAAGTAAGTGGGCTTGGGCAGGACACGTTTTTATAAGTATAAGAGATGATTGCTCGTGGTCGAGACGAAATAAGGAACTGCAGCCATCTGAATAAACAAGTCTCAGAGACCATCCATTGAGAAGAAAGAGTGAAATCACCTTAAGCGCAGTTGCTCGACGGACTATTCTATCACAGGCCCATCGGAGATGGCAAAGACTTGGGGATGCTCAATCAACCAGTAGATTGATCACTATGACTAGATAGATCACCGAATGATGATGAGCATTATAAATGTGCTGAACCGATAGATGTAACACACGAATGACAATCAAGCCACGTTGGCCTAGAAAGGCGAACACCCAAGCAGCACTCCAGATCTCTACGCGGTTGCGATACCGGCACCACAAAACGATGGAATGTATGAACTCGTGAATCGGTCACTCTTAGCTTCTCTCCAAAAGAATAAAAGCCGAGACAATTCCGGTGGGCAACAACGCCCACCTCACAGTGCAGCACAGCTGACCCAGACAAGTGGCGATGATCGTGAAGCAGTGGACGCATGTTTCCAATACAAGCTGGGCGAGGTCGAACACACCAATTGCGTCTTCGCTTGAGCGTCACGAGTTTCTACAGCAGATGCCCACTGCAGCGCTCACTGCACCCTCACGGTAAGTCTGCTGGGTGTTTTATTTTTAAATGAAGTTATGTATTTTTAGGGCGCACCAATAGTACTGCACACAATTTTTGCCACATTTGTTGCAATGCTCATAAGCGTGAGGCCAGCCTCACGCTTCAAAAGAAGTGCACGCATGAGGAGAGAAACTTGGCTGTTGAGAGTTGTTGGTAAAGCTGTGTGTATACATGTGTACTTGTATACTCATGCGTGTAATTACATTCGCAGGTAAATATGTGCTCCACTTTGCATGTGACACTGTAGACATGATATGAGATATAGCAAATGATTACTTCTCTGTGCGACATGCGTATGCATGGGGGCACACATGACTGTGTGTACTAAATACTAATATGTACGCATGTGCGTGCATGTGTGCGTAGATATGTATGCGCGTTTATGTGCACGTGTGAATGTCCGCGCATGTGTGCCTGCACATGTGGTTGTGGAGTGTGTGCGTGCGCGCGTGCACGTGTGTGTGTGTGTGCAGATGCGTGGATGTGTGCACGTGTGTGCGTGTGTTCCAGACCTGGGGGACCCCATGCACCATGAAGGAGGATGTGGGAGAGGTACACAGGGGCACTGTTCATCTTGATGGAACCTGACAGTAGGCCGTTGAAATAATACACGTACCTACACAGCAGCGACAACAGCGTTAATTGCAAAGAGTGCCAAGGGGCCTTTAATGAGCACCACATAGCAAGGAACTCATATTAGGCTGAAAGCTATAGTGTCAAAATGTGGGTTTCGGCTATGTGTGTTTTAAAGTCTTTAGTTATGTTGCAATATTTTAAATGTACTGTATTACACAGTGTGTGGTTAATGAAACCCAAAATGACAGCAGCTGTTAAATTATCAGTAGAAATAGTTATAATGTGTAATCGCTCATTCTCACAAATGTGAGTGAAAATTTACATTAATTGCAGCAGAATTAACGGCACCCTGATGTAGTCTACCCTTCATCGTCTACAAGCCTGCATTTGACAATGTCAGGCTCTGCGCCACTACATCCCTAGAGCTAATCAGGAAAATATGAAATGTGTGCGTTCTAAGCAGTGTACCCTGATTCACTTCCATTCATTGTTTCTGAATGAAGTTTGGTGAGATGAATCGTCACAATAATGGGAACAAGCGGACTTTGTTCGTGCGAATTGAATTCACGGCCCTGTCACAAGGGATGTTCACCACCACAAGGCCACATTTGAAGCCTGCACAGTGTAGAAATCCCAGGGTGTCACATTCAGCCTACACCGATGCTACTTTACAAAGTGCATATTTGTGAAAGTTTATTCGACTCTTTGCCTTTTATTAGGGATTCCAGTGCCATAAAATTACAATGTTTGATCACAGAGATAAGATTCGGTTTTTCTACAGAAGAAAAAAAAATAAAGTTTGCCAGGGGTGCGGCAATGTAAAAAAATTGTCTTAAATAAAGAAAATACCATGATTGCTGGTAAAACTCAAATGTCGTATCTTGCTGTCCCCCTTTGCCTCAATAAATAAAGTGAACAGATATCCTTATTTCATGTGAATATATCAGCGTGAATACAGATTTATGTGCTCATCCCTGCAGCTGGACTCGATCTACCCCTGGATGCACATTCCAGTAGAGGGGCAGCTCCTACACGGAACGCCTTCAAAGTGACCCCAAATGACCTCTTAAAGCTTTTTATGTGGCCCCGAAGTGACCCCAGTCACCTGACGCTGACCTTGTCTTATAAAACCATGCAGTGGGCAGCACAACATTTCATTGTCACAGTTCCTCTGCGGTTATAACTTGCGGTGGCTTAAAGGCTCAGTGGTGATATTGACAGCAGATCACTTCATATCATGGAACGTTGAAATGTTGCCGTGTTATTTCATGTATTTAAAATGTTCCTGGTGAAGTACTCGCGATTAAATTCCTATTTTAAATCTCCAAAAGATGGTGTTTGAAAACCCGGAGACCATCAGAATGATGTGTCAAATACAGTAATCTCTATTCATTCAGCACGTAGTTTTGACATTTACATTTTGTAAAGTGCATGCTACGTGCCCGTATGCTATGTGCTGACTGTTGTCAATCATCGGCCGTGTGCTTTACCGTTGCTGTGAGGGTTGGGTGAGTGACGCAAACTTTTCCACGTAAAACCTCTTCATGGCAAATCTGTCCAGAGCCTGATCCGCACTGTGGCACACGCACACACGAAAACAAAGACAAAGATGACCCCTTATAGCCTTCACAGACTGTTGGGGCAAGTGTTGTTAGCGAGCACCTATGAAGGCCATCACGGCACACGAGGCGGTGGGTGGCCAGTACCACACCTAGCCGCCTTTGTCTCCCTTGTGATGATGTTTACACATCGCACCAGGTACTCATTTGCGGCTGAGTCGATCCAGGGGAGGCCCAGGACCGTTTCAGATAACTGTAACCAGTGTTAGCCATGAACTCCCTATAAACGAACGCTTATACACACATACACACGTGATCATGGTTATTTTTAAATATACACTTGCACATACACAAACCTACATACTACATACTTGCATAAAATGCAATCCCTACACGCGCACACATCCATTGACATGTACACATCATTCATAGTCATAGCATGCACTGTGTGGCATGCACTCGCGTTCCAATACACGTGTGCGGCCAGTGTCGAATTGCTGAGATATTATTAGGAGCTAGCTACACAGACACAACGGGGTGAAGCAAATGAGTGTGACAAACATTTACTTCTGGGTACTTCGGAGAAATAACATTTTCGCCCCAGACGAGTTTTGGTGGGTGCGACTATTGACCCATCCACCTTTGTGAAAGAGTAAAGGGAATGTCATTCGTTGTTTCACTGATTTATATTCGGATAGTTGTGTCCAACCATTATGAGCAAACAGCATCATATATATGTATGTATGTTGAACTTCGTTCGCGCTAATCGGAGGTGCGGGTGGAAGGACAACAAACTTAACACAAAACGCAGTTCTAAAGAAATTACGTTTTCAATCGGAAGGAAGAGCGTTCCAGACGGCCGCAGAAGCGCACCTGAAAGCGCCGCGCGATGCGGTGACTGTCACACGAAGAGCCAATGAAGTATGAGACAAAGAAGTGGTGGACCCTAATCAGGCACCCGTTGTCATTATTGAGGCAGTTAAAATTTGGACAAAATATTAAATGAACGCAGTGATTTTTTTCATATATATAATATATAAAAGAAAGATATAGAATTGCCGGGATAACATGAAACATGTATGTCAACCGATAAGGTTGTGTATGGAGGTGTTGATCACTGATATGATTCAAACTAGTCACCTGGAAATACGTCAGTACTGCAAGATAGACTAAGCTGCACAATTAAAATTAATACAGTACTTTCAAAGAATAACAATAATATAATAAAATACCTAGCCATTGATTTTCAAGAGTAAAACGTCATAAATGTATAAGCTTCTTTAAAATCTGGTTAAATGTATAGACTTGTTGAAATTGAGATAACATCTCTTGGTCACCCATGAATCGCTGCCCCTGATACGTTAAATGATGACGTCACCCTGCTGCTCTATTTAAGACCGGGAGCAAGTGAGGGCTTTACCATTCTGGCGAATTGCCCGATGATGCTGGATGTCATTACCAGCGAAACGTCGTACTCAAATTTTAAATGATGTTGATTCACTCTTCAACACACCGGTGGGCTAAAGTAGTGAACTATTTGTCCTTTGTAAACGTGACACATTTTTTGCTGATTGGCCGTGTCGGGTGGTGGAGGGTTACGACACATTTATAAATAACGCGATCTAACCCAAAAACCTTTATTATGAATAATATTGGTCGCGAAAGCCTACGTGTTAAACTGATATAAGGACGTGTTTTCCCTCACTGTACATTGCGGCATTTAACAAAACACGAGTGGATCTGACATTTGCTCTGGTGAGTGTTCATGTTTTCTAATTGCGTTCTGCTTGACACTCAGTAGGTTCTGAGAGGTTGGTCAGAGGTTGTGGGGAGGGTCTAAGAGTGACGGTAATTTTGTTAAATGTTGTTGCTTTGTAAATTGTCAGGAACCAATTCTAAGAAGTGTCTACAAAGGCTTGACCTCTCATGTTATATGCTCTTTGCTCACAATTATTGGCCACCATTATCTGTCTACCTTATCACAAAGGTGACATGGTAAAAAAAAATCCCTTTCAACTGAAACTAGCTGGAAGAAGCAGGTCTGAGACCTTTTAAAAGCTAGTTTTATTATTTTACTGTTGTTATTTGTACCTATGTTTTGGGCCGGCTTGGCTGTTCAACCTCTTGGCCCACTCCTGGCCTCTCCGACCTTACCTCCTCCGTCGTGTCTCATTCTGAGAGGTAACTAACAATGCTTGGGCACTCACTTAGCCTTGCTGCATTTCTGGGCCTTTCTGCTCCAACATTTGTGGCTTGAGGTCTCTCCTGGGGCCTTGCATCTATGGTATTACAGTGTTATATCATCTCTCACGGGGCCTTGTCACTGCCTTGCCAAAGGTGGTGCGGTTTGGTGGTGAGTGGGGATCGGTGGTGGCGATTGGATGGTGTCAGAATGGTGGCCATTTCGTCCCATCGTTTTTCCCTTGCACTCTGCTGATTCTGGGATTCTCAGTGGCTGTGTGTACCCTCGTGGGCGTGGGCCATTGTTTATCCCTGGGTCTGGGATGGCCTTGACTCGGTGATCTTTTATGCCTCAGTGTTACTTGTTAAAAAAAATATCTTCTATCTTTCATACATTTTTTCCCCCCAAGTGACTTCATGCTTTCCTAGTTTATGATTTAAAATGCACTTTACAATGCCGTAATATTTAAGCGCTAAATAAACAGAAGAAAACGAATCCTTTGTGTTTCTGAAGAGTTCAGAAGCACATTTAATCGTGTATTTTAAACATTTCTGATATCAAACATTTGTTAACGCACACAAACCGTCTCTTGCATACATACATACATGCAGGCAGACACAATGTGGCGATGAACACACAATATGTCAGTGCACACACCTGGCACAGATGGCACTGTAGTGCATAAAGGCAGCGATAACAACACCGGCACTCCCGCTGTTACCCTGAAGAGGAGCAAAAAGAAAAGGAACAATTTAGAAACAGCGGCCAGAGACAACAGAGGAGCCCAACATACCTAACATGTACTGCACATGTATGCCACACACATTCCACATCTGATTTACACAACGTCCTTGCATTATCCGATTTTTCAGTGTCAAACCCCAGAGAGAGAAAACGTGTGTAAGGGACAATAACACATGCTCTGGAGACGATTGCTAACATGTGCCCGAGAGAGAGAATTACCAGCAAATTCGCTACAGCTTCGGAAAAAAACCTGGGGCTGGTAAATGGTACGTGGCTCAAGGGTCATAACTCAGAGGGCATCAAAATGGTCACGGTGACCCATGGAAAAGAGCACTGGTTGGCAGATGTGCCAGGTTAGGGTTGTGTTTTTTTTTATAATGTGAAGGTGGCAGCACCAGAATGGCATTTGTCAGTGATGCTGCCATCCTGAGTTCTGACTTCCAGACACACTACAGTGCTCCACGGATGCACGATCGCTGTAAAACTGACATAACAGAAGTTTATCAGCTTTTGTGCTTCTATGATTTACTAAGAGGCTCACTTTCCACTCCAAGTCTGCATATTCGTCATCGAAAACACGCAAGGTGCAAAAAAAACCGGTACATGTCAAAATTACATTGTTAAACATTTCAATTTGTGAACATTTCAATTTGTGAAACATTCGCGTTTTGAATGAGGCCTATTGCTTCAAGGTAACTACTTTAGATATGTCCAAGGAGTTATATGATTGAATAAGATGATATAATTTCCATTAATTAGCACATAATCAGCCCAGACCTTGGAGAGCTGGCAACTTGAAGATGTGTGCTGCCAAGCATTTCTGGCTCAGTGAATTTCACCACTAAACTGGGCTTCTTGTAAATTTGAAAGTGTAAAAATAAAAACCAAATCCATAGGCCTGAAGTAACAACACCCTAAGTGACCCTGTGCTCTTAACGCCAACGCGAGCCCCTTCTAGGCTTGCAAATCCTGACGAGTGGGATTTTTTGAGTCATTATGGAACCACGAGTGCTGGAAGGCTGATGCCTCCATCAGCATTGGGCGGTAATTATTTCCGTGTTCCTGTTTGTTTACGCAGCAATGTTCTAACATTCTGCAATTTCCTTTTTCCATTTTTTTCAGAAGCACTCTACATAAACAATTTGCACACGTGTATGTCGTTATTATTATTTATGTCTTGTGTATAACGAAAAGTAACAAAAACTATGTTTTTAGGCCAGTTGGCCAAAATACCGATATATTTCTTTCGAATTTTAATTTCCACTCTTTACATCTCGATTTTTTCTTAATAATACAATTTGCTGAAGCAGTACTGTGTGTGCTGATACATTGATATCACAGTTCCTGGTAACCATGCCTTTGATTGGTTTACATAGAGGTCTTGATACCAATCCTGTCTTTGGTGAAATAGTTATACAGGTCCCGAACCGATTGTGGCTTTTATGGACTATCACAGATGCAATACTGACCGTTGACCAGGCTTGCTCACACAGCCACTGCACACCTGAAAACGCCCCTTTGTGAATATTGAATTGTGAGTCACCCCTGAACCCTATAGACCCTTTGCCCTGCTGACCGCACAGTGAAGCACAGCGACATGCAGGGGGTGTGAGTTGAGCCAGGAGTCGATGGCCTTGCAGATGCTACACAGCGTGTCCAGGTGAGGCGCGTGGCGCGATGGCCAGCCAAAATCCAACACCTGCACGCCACGCCACATCGTTACTCCCCAGAAAACATGCACAGCCCCAGGCAGCTTTTACATCAAAAGTAAACCACTCGTCGAAGCAAGCATATCATCTCAATGGTACCGAATAGCTGAAGGCAACGGTGCAGCCCTGCAATTACTTGCTCATGCCACTGCTGGTGGAAGGGTCTCTGGAGATCCACTCGAGATTATCTTTGGTGGGCTACTCTTCTACACTCACCAGTTGCCTTGAAAAGAGTTGGTAGTTATCCACTCACTGTGGTTTCCCCATTTGTACAGAGCAATTCATCGACGACATTGGAAACATTTATTTTCAACTAATTTTTATTTCTCTCACTCGCACCTCATTTGGCACAACATGATTGATTGGTTGTTTTTGCTTGTCAAGGTAACACGTGTGGTGCAATGCATGTTTACCTTTGCCCCGCAGCTTTTTTTTTTACAGTGGTACCCTAACCACCTTGTCCTCGAGTGAGGCTTTTGTATTCATATCATGTGGTGATGATGATGGCGCATCAATAAGGTTGTGTGTGTGTGTTAAAAATGTGTGTGGGAAGCAATGGCACGGTGGTTAGTGCACCGCACTACAAACCCGGTGACCCGCGTTCGATTCCCGCTCATGACCAATAACAGTGGTGAATATCTGAACCGGTGCTGGACCATCCCCTCAATACGACGCAGCCTCAAATAAGTAGCTCGTGTGGCGTGTAAACATCAGCGCCAGGGAGACCAAACGCGGCCAAGCATTGTGATGGCCACCGAACCCCTCGTGTGCCGTGGCGGCCTTCAGAGGCGTTCGCTAACTGCACTTGCCCAAGAGGCTATTTGGTGGATATTTGTCTCTGTACATGTGTACCGTTCCATTGCTTTGTCACAAACGCTATCAAAATAATAGGTTAACGTGAACTGCTGAAATAAGTCTTCTGGTAATCCCCACAGCTAAACGCGACTGTGGATGGGTATGGAGGGCAATGGAAAACACACCGGGAAAGGTCCTGGAATGTCACATTCCAAGGCTGTTTCCCATCAGTGTCTCAAATGGGGTAAAGATGCATCTCCCCTTTGCCTCATGGCATTTAAGCATAATTAAGATATATTGAGGTTAGGTCCTAGATGTGAACAATTATATTTGTAGCAATGTATGTTAATGAATTTGGTGAGAGTGTATGCATGCGACTAATTGTATGCTTTTTTGTGTGTGGTTATGAGGGTGCCACGTAGATTTGCACAATACGCTACAATCCCAGGCGACCTCGATTTGTTTCATGGCCATGTACGACATCGGCGAAAAGTAGCATCTCAACCTATCCCTACTTCAGAGTCTCCTGTAGATTAACTTAACCTGGTGTGGTGCGTACACGTCAGCACTGTGGAGGCAAAGCTTTTATTATTTTTATTATCACCACTTGGTTACCCAGCAGTCTCATGAATCTTTGTCAGGAGGGTTCTGCAAAGTGTTCGCAGTAGGGACTAATGAATGATGTGTACAATCCCAATTTAGAAATATGTAGGTATTTTATTTTATTTAGACAATGACACCCTGACCACGATTGCTTACTCGTGTGAATGACGACACTGGATCTTTAACGTCCACTGTGAAGCAGATGGCGGGTAAATTTTTTACGGTGAATACACCAGTAGTAATAATCATGGTGTTGGTCTCACAGATCCTTTGTGCCATGCCAGTCTTAGCCAGGGGCTTGCTAACAGCACTTTCCCCAAGAGTCTGTGAGACTAAATGAGCCATCTTTGTGTTTAGTCGTATGCGCATCAATGTTGCTTTTCTTTTCCTTCGTATTTTGTTGGCACATGTTATTTACAGCATACGCATACAATGAGTAGTGTGCGCTTGTGAGCGCGTGACCACCTGAACACACCTGTGGGTTGAGTTGCAGCATCTCATTCCGCCTTCCGGAAAGGTTAATGATCTGCAAATGCAAGACAAGCACAATTAACATACTGGATACGCTTTTCCATGCATTAAAATTTCATAAAATAATTCAGATACATGTAAAAAAAAAGAACTGGCACAAAAACACGTCCAAGAATTTGTACGCATATACAAATATACCGCATGCTTTAGCATTGTTTGTGGATTTACACCAGTGAACACTCGCTGCTTGTGCAGAATGAATGTGGCATTTATATGTGGGCGCACCAAACCTATGGAATGTGGACCACGGACTTTTACAGTATCCCCCATATACCAATAATTTATTTGTTCAACAGGGAAAAACACATTAAGTCTCAATACATTTTGATTACTCGTGCATGTGGGAGGAAATTGCAGTAACTAGCATAACACAAATATCCAAACACATCGCCTTCATGAGAAACCAACCTTGTTAGACTGCTTCCTAGAGACATCTATTGCCCTGCTGGGTGGTGTATCGTGCAGGCTCCATCAGTGCATTATCCACCAATCTTTGGGATTACAGGCATCTCTGTGTAAGTGTGCGGGGCTGTGCCCGTTGAATGCAAGTTGATTCATGCCAAAAACGACAATCCTTCAGGAATGCCTCAATGAACCTCAGGACACTTTATCAAGAAGGTCCTGCATTGGGATGTTTAAGTCCTTCCGTTAGTGAGTGCTTTGCTTCCTGCTGGAGCGATCCAGAGGATGTACATGTGCACATGTGCGGACCTACTGTCAATCCATTTCTGTCAAATCCACTGCTGGATAAGGCCTTCAACAGCCTACAACACCTGTTTTGTGCGCAGTAGTCACCGATGCGAGCACCGCCCACACTCTAACCTTGCCTAACGTCTGAGATGCGGCACACGTAACGGTGTTGTCTTTGGTCGCGTTTCAATTCTCGTGAGCGCGTGTGAGCATGCGGCAGTGTCGCGATTCGCACGCTGCGCTACGAGCCCGGTGACCCGAGTTCGATTCCCGCACACGGCCAACACCAGCGACAATTATCTGAACCGGTCATGGGCCTCTTCTAGGTCGACTCAGCCTCAAATGAGTACCTGGTGCGGTGTGTAAACGTCACCACTGGGGAGACAAAGGCGGCCGGGTATGGTGCTGGCCACCGAACCCCTCGTGCGCCGTGCCAAGCCTTCACATGTGCTCGCGAACTGCACTTGCCCCAACAGTCTGAGTCTGTTCAAGCCATACGGGGGACCTTTGTGATTTGTACGACCAACCCACCAGGTATTTGTCGGCGTGCTTGGAGGTGAGCATGCCGGCGATGTCGCGGAGGCTGCTCTGGTGCGCGTGCTCTGCGATGCCGGGCGGAAGCGTGGTGGCGATGATGCGCTCCGTGATGTACGTCAGGTCGAACTCGAAGGGGGCCTCCATCTCGGCCACGCGCGCCCTGCAGGACGTGCGTATGGAGTCTATGTTATATATGTATGTATGTTGTTGAACTCATTTCACACCACACGAAGCCAACCGTGCTTATCGGAGGTGCGGGGGAAGGACAAAAAAAATAAGCATAAAAAGCAGTTTTAGATAAATTCGATTTCAATCTAGATTTAGAAGTGCATAGCTCCAGTTGCTTTATAATATCGGAAGAATGTTCCAGACGGCTGTAGAAGCGCATCTGAAAGAGCTCCCGTTTGGGCTGATTGGTGTAAAAAAGAAAGCACACGGAATCGTTATCCGACGTGGGAGGGTTTGATCGGTCACACATTACATCTATATTCTCAGCCAAAGGAAATCTCCATCAGTGTCAATCGTAGGGATAAGACGATTCACCTTCCCTGGTGATTTGATGCATTGTCGCAACTCAGGGTCACCACAATTCGGTTAAAGTTTCAACCATCTATTATTTAATTGTTTACGTTTCCGTGAATGGTAGCATCACTTGTAGCTGTAATGTGAACCTATTACATACAACATACATGAATCTAAAATATAAATTCTAACACATGCAATGTTATGAGTGCATCGTGAGTTTAAGAAAGAATATTTCAGGTTTGAGTCCCTGCATCATTAAACTCCTCAGTCACCAGGGCACAATTTGGGAACTTCCACAAGAAAAGTTCCTTTTGAATATTGTTGTACCTTGCATGTGAGAGATCATCCCAAGAAAAAAAACTAATTTAATCGGATAAAACTCAAATTTCTCATGAATAGGTCAGCAACTTCCTTGCTGTCCAGCCCACCCAGAGGAATGTCACTGCCTCACTTTTTAGTTGGCATTCATTGATGATTTGAGTCACTGCACATGGCATTTGTATACGTATCTTTGGCACATGCTAAATTTACACTGCATAGTATTAATTAACTGGAAACTATGAGCGTATGCAGTGCATGTTGAGGAATGTGAGAACCCAGGGATGGTTGTCATTCTTGTCATTTTTTTTGCAGGCAAAGGCCATACAGCAGGCAATGTGAGCAATATATAAACGAGCGAACAGACACTATTTTAGCTCATTTGAGGCCAAGCCAACCTGTAAAATTCTCAATGAGGGCTGATTCTATGCCCTAAGCTGACCCCGAGGGAGGCCTTTACCAGACTTTGAGGCCGTGTTTAAAGCATTTGAACAAACGAGCTTCTTTCTAAACGATGCCTCCCCTTTGGCGGGGGCTTGTGCAGTACGAGCCAACAGGCCCCACTCACCCACAGCGTAGGCTGTACACTGCAAGCTTACTACTACTCTGCAATTAACGTGCCTTAAATGTTAACGGACGTGCAGTTTACTGAGAAAACAGGAAGAGGGGAGGTGGAGACGCAGTGTGGGGAGAGAGTGGCAGTGGGGAGTGGGTGGCCTCACTCACGTCTTGGACAGATTCACCAGCTCGTAGGCCCCGGCGCTCGATGAAGCCTGGGGAGTCTGAATTTAAAAAAAAAAACAACACAGCCGTCACACTTTTACAATTTGACAAAATGCTGCCTGAGTCAAAGTCGAGCCATATTGACCATTTGCTTGAACGAGCGTGAGATAGTGCGATCCACTGGTAGAAAATTCCACAATGCTGATACGTGTCCCTCCTTCCCACTGTGGATTTCCTACAATATCATCCCTATTAAATTGAAAAGCTAAACAACACATTTGCGCACTCGGAATAGCTTAAAAATACAATAGAAGAAACACGTGGTTTAGGGAGAACGTGAGTAGCTGGGACATCATAACCGCTATGAATGAAAACAAATGGCACTTTTGAAAGATGCGTCAGTCACGAGCATTGATGACAACGGATGACGAAACTAGCGACAGAGTGACAAAGTCAGGATGACCTTCAGCGTGCTTAACAGTGAGATGAGATTCAGTACCACTGGGGCTTGTCAGCTAGGCATGTATCAATCCACTCTACCAATTAATTATTAAATCAAGTGTCACGATTCAGGGTTATTTAAGAATTAATGGCCAGGTGGCTCAGAGATCAGAGCACTGAGCTGGCATGGCTGAGATGCTGGGTTCAAATACAGGCAGTCAACCGTGATCAAACTGGGTTCAGACTGGCAACCAATAATTGCACGCAAAAAAAAATCCATCATACTAAATTTGAACTTAATTCAAGCTGTGAGAATTACATATATTGCTTTGTTAGGAAAACAAACACTCTCGTAACAGTGTGGGGATGTGGGACACCGCCTGGAGGATGTTTTCAGATAAGTCCTGTGTGAAAAACCTCATGTAGGAATAAACGATTTATTATGATTTACTTTTTAAACTAAACTATATTTTATTTTAGCAGCTAAGGCCCACTGAGCTATATAGCTCTTTTTCAGAAGCGACCTGGCCACAAATCATAGCTCAACGAAGTGGCTTATCACGTGGAAATTTAGAGCAGCCAACTACTCTAAGCGTGTGTTGATTCTAAATATGGAGGGAAAAACCGGAGGACCGGAAAAAAAATCCACGCAACCACGGGGAGCACATGCAAACTACAATTATACAGGCATCAGGGTCGGGATCGAACCCACGACCTCCTGCATACCAGGCGAGGCATGTAACATCTCGCCACCAAGGCAAGATGTTATCTGAATGACAAAACATATGTTTATATATTTTTTACATTCATGTTGTTGATATCTTCATTTTTTATGTGTGTGTGCTTGCTCTTATTTGCCAATATTGCTCAGGAAATCCATGGTTTAATAATTAATTTAGCATAGTAATACTTAGCACTCTTGTTGAGATCGTTAGCAGTTACCCATTCAGGCTAAGGGTTCACTGCAGCACATTTATGGCTGCGTTAAAAACAGAGAATTCTAAAACATGCAAATGCCAATTCATGTAACCTTTGGTCCATGAGTAGGGGCATTTGTACACGCTATGTTTACAGTGGAAGAGGCAGGAGGCTTAGTTAATCCAGCGGTCAACTTCCAAGAACTGTTCATGATTAATCTAAAAAATGCAACCCTCACTTTGTGTTACTGAGCAAGCGTTACCAGCTTTGTGCTTTCTTTTGCTGCATATTTCTTCAAGGGTGATTAAGTGTTATGTTAGTGGCGTGTTGGTCGTTAATATATTTTTGTAAAACAAACCAGTGGAGTTCCAAAACACGCTATCTTAATTGCTTGCCCATTAAGATCAGGTCAGGATAGTTCACTTTATAGAGCAACAGACTACAAATCACAGTCACTGATTCACATTTCGGTAACGCTCGGCTCAGCCAATCATTCTCCATGCTAAGTTAAAATTAGCACGACATGGCGAGCAACACGAATGAAAAATCAACATTGAACTTTGATAAACTAAACACAGCCGTAGGTATGCGGGCTTTTCAACACTCGAACAAGACCACAATGGAAATGAGTATTGGCTGGTGCCCATTTGTGCATGAGAACACTTTGACAGAAGATAATCCAGAGCAGTATACGTACGTTAATGCTAACATTTTTACACTGCAGTTGCACGACAGTTTATATCTCTGATTCATGAGGTCTGTCTATATGTATTAACATTTAGGCTATGGTATACGCAAAACAATTTGAAACGTACAGAGAGTGGTTCTATGATACATAGTAAGCAGAGATCCCCCTAACGTGTGTCGCTCAAACGCAACGAGAGCTATGTGAAATTCACAAACAGTCTTGTGCAATTGGCCACAGGGAGATTGCAAAGGCAGCAGTAGATGTGCAGCTGAAATACCTGGGCATGAAATTCAACATCAAATACTGTAAAAAATGGTTGTCCCGGTCTCCTCTGAATATTCACTAATCATGCCTAATAATCACATAATGCGACACTTCCTTAAAAAAGAATAGCGGTATAATTTAAGACTGTGCATGAGCGTGCATTCACGTATTTTATAAGGCACATTGCAAGGAAGAGCATAGACAAAGTGTTAGAGATCCCAGTGGCATGAATTCAAAAGCAGCCGAATGGCATTAATCAGGGGATTTTAAAGGTCCAACGGATAAATCAGCAGGGGGACAGACATTTTTTTTTTAAGCGCAGGAGAGTCTGGGAATGGAGTGGTTTAGACAAAATGCATGGTCAGTTGGAAGGCTTTTTTTCTCAAATTCCACAAATTCTTGAGTCAACTTGGGTCCCTGATACAGTTCCTCTCCTGGGGTCAACTGACAGACACGGCCCCAGGGCGAGCAGACCGGAACAGGGCAGGAAAAGTTTTATAGCCACCATTTTACCCGTAAGCTTTGTTGTTTTCCTTTGCGGCGTTTTGTGTCCGGCGTGAAATTCGCGCCGCGCGATTCGGTCGATTTTGAATGTGCCCGGCTTACACTTTTTCTAGGCGCCACTGTTGCCTCATCGAGTTCCTTCCCGCTTTTAAATAGACCGGAATAAATATAACGAGCTATTAAAGCGAAAGAGGCCAGAGGAGAAGGGCAGGAGATAATGAGGGAGGGTTAGAAGCAGAAGGAAGGCTCAAGTGTCAAGTTGCCTTTGGCTCTGAACCACGGTTGAGTTCAAGGGCAGAATAGGCCCAATACATGCAGTGCATCAAAAACACATTGTTCGGCTCCCTTGCCTAATTTTATACTAAATACCTTGTTCGGCTATTTGGGATGCGTGGACTTTCCCGCAAAACAAGATGTTTGAACGTCGCCCATTACATATGTGCGGAATAAAAAAAAATGTGTTCAGTCGGAAAAACATCTCAACAAACATTACAGGGAGACAAGAGCTGGACGTTGTCCGTGCACATCCAGACTCACTTGGAGCTCGCTGGACCCATTGGCAGGATACTTACGCACAGATGAAAGGTGTTACTTCAGGGAAAGAATGGGGACCGCAGTAAATCTGTCCAAATTGGAAAATGTCCTCTGTTCTTTAAAGGCTTGCCTTTCATTTCACTGAACGGCACTCTACTTTACTGCCGTGGTTTTGCGCGGGGACGGCCTTACTGGGGGGTTATGGCCGAGACGAGGAATTAGCCTCCGAACGGTGCTGCAAACCATCATGCGGAGCCGTGACAGCGGTGTGGGAGTGGAACATCGACATAGCGGGGATATTGCTGTTTCTTGCCTCGTGCATGCCAGTTCCGAATGTGCGAACGTTCTCTGCATACCCAAGAGAAACCTGTCAATGCTTACCGTCCTCTCTGCCTGCATCAGAGGCAGCTTGGCACTGCTCGGCTGGTTTTGGGTGAGATGGACAAACGGAGAGGGGGGGGGGGGCAGGGTGTGGGGGGGGGGGTACAGAATATGGGACAAGTAGGAGAGAATATATATTTCAAATTTAAAATACAGTCCGTATCCATTATCAAAGCAGAAGATGATATAAACCCATTGAGACCCACGATACACAATATAACCGAGCGAGTGCTTTAGCGTCGTACACATCTCACGTGTATTGGGAGTGGTGTATGCAAGGGTTAATACGAGACTGCATCTCGCAAAATATAAAAACGTAACAAAATGTAAATGACTCAATCAAGCAATTTTTTCAAAAATATATATATATATTTGAAATAGAATGATATATAATTGTTCAGATGCATCATCTTTTGGTCTATGTAGAGGTACGATTTCCAGGAGAATCTGACAAAAGACCCGATTTATACGAATAAAAAATACATCTTGAGAATACTCAACACCATAAAACAGCAGCAACAACAACAACAACAAAAGCCCCATAAACAATACCGATGGAGATATAACGGTCATTTATACGTCAACGCTGGCACATCGCGCGTTCCTTCTCACATCAAGCGTGAGCGACCCCGCACGTGGCTCCAGTATCAAATGCACGCCTGTGAACCACCACGGTCAGCTCCTGCATCGAGCTGTCGGCGCGCGTCCATCAACAAACGCGGCCTCGTGGCATTCCTGTAATCAGCAAGGGCACATGCTTGGCGAAGCAGGAGTGCCCTGGCTCATTGCAGTTGCTGCAATGAGGGAATCTGTCCTGGACCCTACGGTGTTTAGTGCGATCTGCTGCTAATGATCCGTAAAGCGGCTCTCAGATGTGACACATCCCCGGGCGACGAGCCAGCAGCGAGCAACACGTGACATTTTGTTGTGGATTCATTCCCCGTGATTGGCAGACTCGAGTTGCATTCCCACAAAGCGTGCCGTGCATGCCCTCGCGCAAAAAAAAACACCGCCGTGCGTTGGTGCACGGCGAAATCCGTGCAAATGAGTTGATCGCGACGAGAAATGTTGAACAATGCAGGGTTTCAATTCTCACAGGTTTTATGTTCGGTGGGGTTTTTTTTTCTCTCTCTCTCTCTCACCGTCATGCCTCCGGTTTTGAAGGCATGGAAATAAGTGTAATGAAACAACATGACCTCGGTACTATGACTAAAAAGCACCTTCGGCAGGGCAGGTAAGATAGGGTCACTGGCTGTGACAACACCATGAACATGAGACTGGGAGCAGCTCAGTAACTTCAAGACGATTTCAGTTTTTGTCTGCATTGAGGACCTGAACGTAATGACAAGGTATGAGGCCCAGTAACAGGAATAGGAGGAAAAAAAACACCAAGATGTGCCTTGAACATATCATTTCATCAAAACTCTACAAGGTGTACCTGAAGAATCATGAAGGTTATATTCAAGTGAAATAAATCGTGTCTCGTTATCCACGTGCTACCAGCTTGTCGCATCCACCTTCATGCACGTTTATTGATTCTGGTCACGTGATTTATAAATCCACACGCATCACGGCTTTAAAAGAGTCTAGACGCAGTCTTCCATTCAGCCTTGTGCTTTTATTATAAACGGGAGCCACTCTGTCCATCAATGCGACCTCTTAATGCATCCGCCATCAATACGGAAGGGCTCGAATGAATGAGTCACATCTTCCAAGCCGTCTGGTCAGCGTGGAAGCGTTGATCATCGGCAGGAGCTCTCGTGAGCTCTCTTAAGACACCCTTTCAGCGGAGGCCCTTATGCCAAGCAGCGGTGTGAGCAAGCAATTGCAGGGCTGAACCTTTACGTTTCACACTGGTCAAGGTTTGCCTTGAAAGCATTTACGAAGATATTATCATAACGTTTTATCAGATTTACTTACACAGGCCATGCATTGAATCCCTGATTACGTAAAACACATCCCAAGCGTCCCACGTCTTGCGCCAATACTAGATTTGGAGAATGTTCCTGCACCTTTTACACTCCACGAAACTGGAACAATTATTGCATCTCTTTACATTTAATGGCTAACCCATCTCAATCTGTTTTTTTTTATGATGCACTAGATTCATTGCTTGAACAACCTGAAAGTAAATAGTTTCAATCATGACGTTCTACTCTCATTCAGTGTGCATCTTAATTGTCAGTATAGATTTTGGTTAAAAAAAAATGTGTTCCACTGTAAATGTTTAACTGATATTGCTTAGAATGTAAAGAAATTTTTTTCGAATTAAGTTTTATTACAATAATTGTACTTTCTATTCTGTACACTATTACTCTTGGAACTCAAGACTTCCCTTGAATACAAAAAAATAACCAATGTGCTCTCACGTGGTGGTAAATCATGATTTTACTTCTGAGTCGGTATTCACGGTTTTGCTGTACAGCTCTCCGACATTGCAGCCGGAGTTCTACCGCACGTTGTTGTTCGACAGGATGTTAGTCGTTCCGCTCCACGTGCTTCTTCAGGAATTGATGGGCAATCTTTTTTTTATCTGGTTGACTGAAGATATTGCCAGCCAGCGGAGGGAAACATTGGACATCACATCAAGTAACTCGCAGTACAACCTCACAACACTTGAGAGGGCTAGTTTGCTTACTCGTAGATGCTTCGTGTGGGGAATTTCTTCTGTGGGCTGCTCAGATGTCACAGGTGCTTTCAAACATTTGTGGACATTTCAATGAATGCAGCAAAAACAAACTCTTGATGTAATATACGAGTTGTCCGTTGGACACGTGATAAAACAGGCTGTCCCTTAAATTTTGGGAGTAACAGCTCGTGCGACTAAAATGTTTTTTTACAAATAGGAACGAAATAATAAATCAAAGAGAAAGAATAGAAAAGCAAACATCCCTGTTGACAACGCAGGCACCAACTTTATGGTGGTGAAAAAAAAAACGTGAGCCGTGTGACCTATTATAAGGTGGCATTTCCAGTAATCAGTTAAACGTGTGTGCACATACATCTGAATGCATTAGGTTCAGTTATAACTCACCACACCCCACACGCAGTGTAGCAGGGAGGGGCCTTGTGCTATTATTGCACGTGTCTTTGTGGACATTATGTTTTTTTGTCCGTGTGTGTGTGGCCTCCCCTCCACTAGTGATATCTAAACCTGTCATGGGCCTACCCTATATTGACTCGGTCTTAAATGAGTACCTTGTGCGATGTGTCGACGTGAGTAGTGGCGAGACAAAGGCAGATGCTGGTCACGCCGCACCCTTGTGAACAGTTCTGGCCTAAATCGGTGCTCATGAACCGCATTTAACTTGCCCTCTGAGCATCTGAATCTAGGTTTGATTTTCTGCCATGTTCGCCAGCGGCAAGTGGCATCTATATCTGTGCAGGGCTTCTGAGAATAGCCGCACGGTGTGAATATTCACAAAGGAGGAGATGAAAGTGGCCAGTTGTGAGACACTCATTTGCTGTGCCGGTTTTCATCAAGGGCTCCCTAACTGCACTTACACCTCTTTTATAGGTTCGATTAAATGTGGAGATATTCGTGTGGCTGTGCACAACATTTGTATGAGTACCTGGTGGGTGGTGCATAAACATCACCACTTGGAAGACAAAGGCAGCCAGGCATGGTTCTGGCCACCCACCCCCTCGTGTGCCGTACCATCCTTCATAGGTGCTCGCTAACAGCAGCATTTGCGCCTACAGTCTTTTAAGGCTATACGGGGGATCTTTGTTGTGTGGGGAGCGGTAAGTGCCGCGGTTAGCGCGCTCCGCTACAAACCCAGTGACCCTATTTTGATTCCCGCTCACGGACAACACCAGTGACAATTATCTAAGCCTGTCCTGGTCCTCCCCTCAACCTCAGCCTTAAATGAGTACCTGGTGCAGTGCATAAACAATACCACGAGGGAGACAAAGGCAGCCGGTATAATACATAAATAATAATACTGCTTTGATTTACAAAAATCCCTCATCCAACCCACTCTCAACATTCTGAAGGACCACTTTCTCTTAAAATAAAATGCATCTTCCAGGGACCAGGGACGAATAAAAAACTGTTTCTCCTAAGGACAAACCTGTGTAGCGTGGACGGCTCTTGTTAGGTGAACCACATCACCGCACTCGTGTTTTTCGCATTTTGTCATCGACTCTAAATACAATTTTTAAACATTTTTCCAGGAAGCACAGCTGAAATGCTAAATTCTGCCCCAGCAGCAAGAGCCTGTATAGCATCACGTGCCTCTGCAAATATGCATTACCATGGTGACTCAAATTAAATAACATCTTAGTAGATAACATGTGTTGGGGGGAAAGGATCTGACGCAGAGCATTTCAGGTCAATTCTGCAATAATATCATGTTTATTTGTGTTCAAGCTCAGGTTACTTGTTAAAACATTCTGAAGGCGACTCTAGGAAGTAAACTCTTTGTCACTCGATGTCATAGGGCTGGGAAGGGCGTGAAAGCAAAGTGAAAATCTAGCATCAAAATGGAAACATATTTGAGATATGCAGCTATGTAACTATGGCACGGGAAAAGCTGTTTTCACTAAACAAAAAACAGCAAGGAGCTTAAAGAGAGATTTGTTCAAGTTGATGCGGGCTTGACTATGGATCCACTAGGGCCTCGAGGGGCTGGTGTCTCTTGAGTCAAATCTAAAGGGGCTGTGGAGGAACGGTTTGGTGTTGAAGTGCAAAGGGCTCCATGTTTGGTAGGGAATTCAGAGTCACCCCACTCCTCTCATGCTACCCTCCCAGACCGACCACCTCTGGGCCAGTAAGACCCACTGGCAGATGTTCGGCTGTTAAGGGAATACACAGTGGAGAGCTTTTCATCTTTTTTTTCTTTCTTCCTTTCTTGATACAGGGTAGCTCAGTTGCGCTCCGTGTGTCTCGTATGACAGATGGCCTTGCAGTGTCCGTACTGGACTAATATAGCAATAATTGGTCCATTTTTCCAGAGCGAACCATGGCCACGTGGCTGGCATGCAGCGTGCATGGCTTAGGGCATAATGCGATGGATCTCTTATGTCCATGGCTTGAGAGA